CTTTCTCTGAATATGTCTGGTAGTCAAAGCAAAGTAAAAACAACATAGATACAAGTAAAAAAACAAGTATGAACTTATATAAATTTTAAGCTCAAAACTCAGTTGTACTCTGGAGTTCAGTTAATTTTCAAATGGATGAAGTGGTTATTTAGAGTGGATATTTTACTAAAGTGGTGCCATTCAAGTTAACAGCTGAATGTAAGTATTTCATCCTGATTACCCTGGTTGAAGGATGTGTGGCTAATGCATGCACAGCACTGCCAAGCCTAGACTGGCATAAAGACTCCCTGCTTCACAATAAATTTCATTTATAAAAATATGGGTGAATATCTTACAGCTAAGATAACACAAGGATGGTGTTTTAAGCTGCTAGGTGTGTGCACAAGAGTAATACAAATTGATTTATGTTTAGTGCAGAAAATACTTGGCCCTTTAAAATTGCTCTGGAAGACTGAGAATATTATCCTCATCAGCAAGGTTTCTGCACTTGACCAGCATCCTCCAAATAATCAATTGCCTTAGTAATCATATTCCTCCTTGTTAAAAGCATTGGCAGAATGAAAGCCAGTATGGTTTTGGTTTTCCTCAGTAATTGGCTCTTACTAGAAAGCCCCCATGAAAACCATTCTGAAGCCACTCAGCAGGTACTGCAAACAGCATCTCGGAGGAATGTTGACTCAGAAGTGATGTGAGATCACTCTGCTGCTGAAATGGAAGGTCCTGCCCTTCTCTGTACAGAAGAAGGATTTTACTTCAGCAGGAAGAGCAAGCTGATCTGACTGCATATGGCCTCTGAATGACTATCCAACCTTAAAGATGTGGTAGGAATGTGCCTTTAGGTTGTAGCAAGGGCTGAGGTCACCTTAGTGAGCCCTACATGCCTTAGAAAAGAAATGATATGCACTATTTCTGACACATTAACCACCTTTATTAAATATTTTTATAATCTATTAGGTGAATAAACAAAGAGAAGCTTTTATTTCAAAACCATTTTTAAGCCAACACTATGTAAAAATAATTGAATTTTTCAGGGCTGTCTCTTTTTAGATGAATTTCTAAACTTCAACCTTATTCTCTTTTTTGGGTAGTTGGGTGTGATGCATATGGGTTCACAGACCTCAGAAGATAAATGAAAGAAATCTTTTCAGACTGGTAAAACACTTGAGGCTGGATGCTGTAAAATCCTGTTTTCTATTCAGAGTCCTGTCTGTTCAACTGCAGGTTAGTCACCATTGCCTATACAGGGCCATATGAAATCTGGCGTGGAAAAAGTCTCCTTTCATGAGGGGAAACAATGTGACTTTTGAGTTTTGGACTGTGCTCCACACTCATCTCCTCAGGAAGCTCAGCCAGCCTTCCTTGTTCTGAGCTCTCTGACACGTTTCCAGAGTATTTAGCTGCTTGCATTAGAGAAGTTTTCTTCTAATACCTATTCTCCGTCTGAAACCAACTGCATTTTAGGGAGCAACCTCACTTGTGGTTTAATTGTCAATAATTGAGCAGACCTATGACATTTTTCAAATTTTTGGGTCCGTGATTCTGCCCTTGTTTTTTTTGAGGCTACACTCTTTTTCTCCCCACACAGTACATCGCTCACCAGAGAGCTTGGTACAGGAATAATTGTTTTCAATTTTCTGCTATCTTGCAGCTTTCAAAAGATTGGGTTATATTTAATTTCCTTTTGTTATCCCACTATGGGGGGACAGTACAGTTGAAAACTGCTCCTGAAAGTAACAGAAATGTGACAAAAGATTACAATACCATAAATGAGCCAAAGGAAACCGGGTTTAGATTGCAGGATTTTGTCTTACTTCACCTCATGCTATTTAATCAATATACTTTATGAGTATTTAGTACTGGGGTGCCACAAGTCTGTCCACCCTGCTCTGGATAAGGAAGATGTAAGTTTACAGAAATCAGTATTTGTGGCATTGAAACAACTGCGGTGAAAGGAATCCACTGCAAGTGAATGCCCGGGAAGAAATGTAATGTGAGCTTTGTGTCCACAGAACTGAAACCAGGCAGAGCCATGGAGGGACACAGAACCTGGGGGAGGTGTTGAACATAACAGGTTTTAGCTTGGAATGGAAACCCCGTAATTGTGTTTAAAAATGCCTTAAACCAAAAATCAAAGTATCTTCAACTGCAGATCGAGCCTTTATGATATCAGGAGTACTGTCATCATCCAGCTTTTCATGGTAATGCAGTCCTTTACTTACCTGGCAGAACATGGTCACTCCACTGTTTGGAAATCATGAACATGAAAACACAGCTGGCATTAAGAGATTTTGTGGCACGGCTCTAGAAGTCACTTGACAAAACTCACTAATGAGAATTTCCAAATAAAAAAACTGATTAGGAATTAATTTAGCTCATTGATTTACATTTTTAGCTTGCTCAGAATACAAATAACACTCCAGAGTGGTCTGCTCAGAAAGCAGATGTCAGCTTGCATCAAGTTTGCTTCTAAAGTAGCCTCTGAATAAAGAGGAGGCTTTTTTGCTGAAAATGTCTATGGGGATCTGGCTGCTGGTTTATTATTGTCCATCATCAGAGAGCAGGGAAGCAGCTCCTGGATTTAATGAAGACTTCAATGCTGTTAGCCCCAGGGAATATTGATTAAAGGAAAGCACCTTGGCTTGTGGAGCCTTATTTGCTCTGCCACACATCAGTCATGTGCTGTCGGCCTCGAGAAATAGGAATAATTCTGACTTGTTTTACATAAGCCTGTTTTTCCCTGTCCCAGCCCAACACAGTGAAGGTTATCTGAAGGACACCTACATTAAAATTTGCTGCAGTAAAATTTTTAATACTGAATTTGCATTAGACTACTCCAGTCTCTATTCATGATAATTATATAAACAAGTGCACAATATTTCAAATTACAAAAGCCATTAACTTTTAGGAACTAAGTGCCAATGCCATAAATTGAAAATCCAAGTATTTATTTGTTCAGGATAACACTGAAGAACAAGAAAAAAAATCACATGTTTCAGCAACATTTCTATTTTAACCAGAGACTCAGTATATTCCTCTTTTCTGTCAAAAACCTCCCATTATTTTACTTTATGTAGTCATCCAATCTTTACAAATACAGCATTATTTCAAAGAAAATGGAGCAAACCTGCTGGCTGCCACTTTGTGGGGAGATCACAGAGCAACAGACACAAGGAAGAAAGAATACCATAAATGTCTTCCATTTCTAGTCTCCAGATTTCCTCTTTAACTACTAGAAATACTCTTGGAAAGTTTTGCTTATTTGATCTTATTTTTTCCCTAGAAAACAGCTGATTTTTACAGATACTGGCTGAAACTGGCAAACAACATCACCTACCCTAATTTCTCCACCTTTGAAAACAAATAGGCATTAAAAAATCTCATTAAGATAAATGTATACATTTCTGGAATTACTATTTTGCAGCTCATTTTCAAATTACAATTAATGAATTAATAATAATAAAGGAATGAAGCCCTATCTACCCAATTGTTTACTTGGAGACCTTCTACCCTGAGAAGGAGACATCCCCTTGCACTTTGTGCTCCTTGACCTGGGGATGTTCCAGGGAGGTGAAGAGTCACATGTTTGACACAAGGAAAGGTACAAGTAACACGAACAAAGCATCAAAAAAAGCCCCAAACCCTGATCAATCTCTTCGAGGTTGTTCCTTTTCCTTTTATTGGCTGCCTAACCCACCTGATGGAACCAGTAACAACCACAACGCCCACATGAGCTGTGAAATAATACTGGGCAATAGAAATACACTATTATCACCTTTGTAAACCTTATTCAATCAATAAAATACCTAAATAAAAAAAATATAGAAATGAAACGAATATTCATCAATTACACCCATCTTAATACAAATTCCAAGCTAACTTGGGGGTACTAATTTATCTGAGAAAACTCCATAAAATGGAAACAGAACATTTCTCCAGTGTATAGAGACCATAATTTGTTTTATAGAACAAATCATTTGAACAGTAAGATCAGTTAGAGAATGTGGAAATAGTTCATAGGTATTGTATTTTTTTTTTTCAACAAAAATGCTCTTTAAAGTACTTGGGTAGTACTACATCCCAAAAAACTGAAGTGTGGCTCTGCTTCAAGGAAGGTCTGTGGAAACGGAATCCTGCTATTGCAAACATTTCATTACTAGCTCCTCTAGACCAGAGCTTCTCATTTTACATAGAAAATATTTTTCTTTTAAATGTCAACCTGCAAATTTACCTTTACATACAACAGCCAAACAGATTATTTCCTCCTCAATCATTATGTTTAAAAATCACAGTTATGAAGGTCAAGTTAGTCCTGAATGACACCTGCATCACGTGGTCACATCCAATTGGTTTGTCTGTAATCCAGCCTTCATTTCCATCTTAATTCCTAATAATTAGTGGCATATCTATCTTCCCTGCACATTGTCAGCTGGGGTTTTCTCCAGACAGGGTATAGACCCTTACAGCCTTTTTAGAAAATCCAATTGATTCCTACCGAAATGTCTCAATATCAAGACAAGAATCAGCTTTAAAGATGCTTTTCACTTCCAGTGAGGGTGCTTTGGCTCCTGCAAGCCATAGAAGCCAATCCTGAACCTGAAACAAGATAACCTGAACAACTCCAGCTCACATGGCAGAAGTACCTTGCCATGGTGGCTTCAAAAATGTTCTTTTAAGGAACAGTAGGCAATGGCAAACCAGCAGCATTTTTTTAACCTTCCAGAATATTCAGACTGACTCATAACTTACTAGAGTAGAAATTTGTCTTACTTCTTTTTGTCAGATCTCCTCTTTGTTCTGCCTAGAGAAGAAGCATGGCAAATGGAAGCAAACATGGGATTATCATCCACTTTAGTAGGCTTGAAATAAGGCAGAAGAAATAGCAGCAGTTTTCTACACCAGTGCAATAAGCACTCTACTTTCCTTATTGAGAGGTAGAGGGAAAACACCAAAGAAAAGAGATTTAAATAAAAAATTAAAATAGAAAAGCTGTTCAACCTTACCTTGCCAGCCTGGTTTGCACACAGGTTTGACATTAACTCGTACCAAGACATCTTCTGTTGCATGTTTCTGGCCACAGTCAAAAGCTGTCACCATTATCTCATACTGGTGCTGTTTATCATAGCTCAGCTTCTCGGTGTTCCTGATGTTACCTAGAGGGTCAGCACAAGATTCAGAGATTCATTCTTGGCTAAGTATCCACAGACTGCAACATCTGGGTCCTGGTTCATTAAGTGCTTTGTGACTTTGAGCTCTTTGAAGCACACAGGACATGCACAGGCAGGACAATTCTGAAGAACAGGAAGGATTTTCTTTCAATCCAGCAGAGAAATAAACTTGTAGGCAAATATAAGATGGGAGGGTTATGTTCTGGGCATGGCTCTATTAGAAAACATCTGCTCAACAACACTTTCTAAAGTAAGATGGTAGAAGTAATTAGCAGTTACATCTTGACATGGGAGCTACGAGTAGGTGCACACTCCTTTTCCACATTTGCCACAATACATGGCTTTAACAGCCACGTTCCTGAGATCCACTACTCAATGAAAGTATCTTCCTGTATTCCCAAAAGTAGGTGAGAGACATTTTAAAAATAGGAGAAAACCCCAGAATCACCTCCTGCATTACAGTTCTTAACAGTACTTGATAGGGCAGCACAGAGTTATCACATGGAAAATAAAACCCAGCAACAACAGGGTTTATCTGCTGAACCTGACATACATATAAAAGTGACAAATTACCTGCTTTGGGAACAAACACGTCAGAACTTTCAGAAGGAAAGGGAAAGATCTTTCTCTGAATAGCTCCTGGAGAACTGGGAGAGCACCATGCAAAATGTATGTGTTTTCTACTAGCATTTTAATTCTGTCCATTTCCATTGAAATTTACTTTTTGCACAAGTTGCTTAATTCATTTCATGCTTTTGCTCAGGGCTGTTTGTTTTCACCAAATCCTCTTTGAATGAAGATTTTTGTTTTAGAATTCAAGGAACAAACTTACTCTGCAGCAGTGTTACACATAACAACTGCTTTCAAGCCAGGAACAGCAAAATCCAGTTGTTTGGGCTAAATTTGAAATGGGCAGCCCCCAGATCCTGGAATTTGGTCAGATGCAGTGAACTGATCCCCACAGGTGCTGGCCAAAGTCGCTTTTGCTAGGCACAAAACGTTAGGTTTGGTTTGGGCAATTGGGTTTTGTTTTCTTTTTTCTTTTCACTCAAATGAGTGAGAGACAGGAGAAAGCAGACTAATGCATCTTCTTAAAAGAAGTCTTTCACTCCATTAATTTGACAAGTGAAGACTTTTAGCAGGTGTCTCTCTGCTGCACACTCCTTATCTTGTCAGAACCCACCACTTTTCTTACTATTACTACTACTACTACTACATTAAAGCCAACTTTAGGAGTTTAATTGAAATGGATGCAAAACTTTCCAGGTCAGGCCTGAAGAAAGGCTGCTGTTTGCATGTACAACCACCTTCAGGTTAAAAACCTGTAGCTGAAATAGACCCTTGCACCTGCAGCTGCAAGTCAGGCCCAATAGCCCATTTGCTGCTGGCTCTGAGTCTGGCTCCGTTGGTGAGCAGGGCAGAGGAGCACAGGAGCTTCTCATACTTTTGTGTCTTGAAAGGAGCAATGGAACAAGCTGCTGAAGGCTGATTTGGAAGCAGGGAAGTGTCCTGCACACTCCGGAGTTCTCTCTCTGGGCTTCCTCATCTTGCCACGGGCACAGCTCTTTCCTCCCCACAAGAACTGCAACAACCACACCAACTACATTGGCTTTTGAGTTAGTGATTGACAAAACAATCTAATCACCCATGTTACTGTGGTTACTGCGCTGCAAAGAGAGAGAAAGGACAGCAACACACATGGAGCTCTTTGGGGAAAAAAGGCCAATTTATTGTACAGACAGCCCGGATTTAAAGTGTGTTAGTGCAGCTAGGACAGGACAGGAGCTCATTGGACAATTGGGAAAAACATCCTTGGGACAGCACCTCAGGATGTATCCCACGGGAAAGACACCAGGTGTTAATGTTTATGATGAATTCCACTCTGTTTTTTACCATGTTATCACCCTGGGAGACTTCCTCCCTACCTGAAGCTGCAGTCAGCTTGTCAGCCTGGGAATGGAGCTGAGAGTCAGGAGAAATCCAGGCCTGAAAAGGATTTCCAAGCTGTAATTCCCCAGCTCTCTAAATGTCTGTGTCCACATGTTACTATCTCAAGTTACCTGAGTAGTGGCTGCCTAAGAGCATTTAATGAAAAACTGCCACTGTATATACTTAATTACTGATTTTATATCTGCTCGATTCTTCTGTCCTTCCTGCACTACATTATTTCTTATATAGTTTCTTATATATATTATATATATATATATAATATATATATTATTTCTTAATCTTTATATTTCCCTATTTGGTTCTCCTTGGTATTATTTTAGTCCGTGACCAGCAAAGATAATTCTCAGGAAACCAAAATTGTCCAAATTTTCATTAGCAGATTGCTAGAATTTCTGTGGCATGTTAACTGTCCTACAAGATTTATAAATCATTATAACATATTTGCATTTCATTAAATCTGTCTTCCAAGGTCTGTATTTCAATATGGCCATTTCAGATTTGGACTATAAAGATTCTGACTCTTAGGTGTTATTCTGGAAGGTCATTCGGATGACTTGGAGATGTTACCCAATCACTTATTGATTTCCTAATAATTTTTTTCTCTTATCTCTGATGCTTTATGATTCTTTGGGTTTTTATAATTTAATCAATATGATTAAAAAGTAGACTCAGAAGGGAAGCACTATAAACACAGACTAATTAAAGTTTCAGAGATGGCAGTCTGAAAGTTTCTGTTTACATCTCACCCATAGACAAAAAAGTAATTAAGAACATTCAAATGAGAAAATTTTAATGGGATAAATAAGTACATTTCCAAGCAATTCAAAATTAGGCCATACATTTTTTTTTCAGTCTTCCTAAATATCTGCATTTTCCTGAAAATACCCAGAGCTACAACCAATTTGCAAACAACAAAAAGCAGATCAGTGACTACAGGAATATAAAAAGTTCTTCCTGAGGACACAGACATTTACACCTCTGTTTCTTCAAGGTCAGTTTTAGAGGTAGATGGATATATAAATCCTTTTCTGGCTCTTTTGCCTTACTTTGGAGCAGTCACAAGAATGGGGAAAGACTTGACTGATTTAGTATGGCAATTTCCTCCTAAATTCCACAGTTACTAAATCCATTTATCTTCTTGTCAAAAAGGTTCCTTTTTAAATGATAATGGAAAGAATCTGTCATTTAATAAATATATAAATATCAAATGCAGATGCTCAGCTATGAAGTTTGGCTTTACTTTTCTGGCAATACGAAATTTGCACAGCTCCTACCACAGCTCTGGGTGCTGCAAAGGGGGATCCTGTGAGGTCCTGTCCTGTCCAGGATTTGTAACCTGATAAAACCTGTCTGGGCTGGACAGGTCCCTGTCTCATCTTCACATTGAACAGTCTGAACATGAATTTGTGAAGTGCTCCCCTGAGCTGGGTGGCAAATAAGTCATGCCCATTTTTGAGGTGAGACTGGGTCAGAGCTGTGACAGAATTTGTATCTATACCTGAGTTCCCAGATATTCTGACCATAATCCCTGACAAATAAAGCACAAGACATGTGAATAGAAATGGGGTTTGCTGGCATTCTGACAGATCTGTGCATTGTGGTTTAATTTTTCTGTCACCTGAAAAAAGCTGCAGCAATATTGCTGCAGTAACTGACTTGACTTCTCTGCTAAGGAGAAAATGAGAATAATCTGCATGCAATACTACTTTAAAACATATTATGCCTTATACCTTTAATCACAGTTCTTTGCACAGCAAAGCATAAATTTGTCCTCTGCCTTTACATGACTGTATTTTATGACTCAGAGCTCATTATCATCCAAGTTGGGCTCATCATATACAAGAGTGAATTTTATTAGTGCTATAGTTTCAGAACACAAAGTAATTTTATCCACAAGGAAATCACATACGAAGGGCCAGACTTGCCAGAAGTAACTGGGAAGTTTTGTATTACCTTCCCAAAGTGCCTAAGTTACAAGAACCTGTAGGAAATATCCCCAGGCTGATGCTGGTTCCTGTGCCCACCCACTCCTGCCTCCCATGGAGCAGGGATGAGGCAGCCTGTGCACCAACATAGCCTACAGGGTTCTTTGTGCCTCTCTGCAAACCTTCCCCAATGTGTATTATAATTTTTCAAGGCCAAAAAATGGTCCATGCATGGATCTAGGGACAAGAAATAGGTTTTACCTAACAAGACAGTGACCTGTCAAAAGAAAAAGAGCTGATGGAATAGCTTCCTCTTTTTACACACTTATGTTTGGGGTTATTTTCATATGTTGGTCATGAAAAGAATCCACCATATGGGGCAGACAGTGTCATGTCTTCCTCACAATTCACCCCCACCTCCATCTTTTGGGGCCCCTTGGAATATTTAGATCTGATTTTAATGTATCTGGTTATCCTCTTTCTGAGCAATGAAGCTCCACAAGTAGGTGACTGAAAAGCATAACCTAAAAAAATCATAACCTGCAGAAGACACAAGAACCCAGATTTGTATTTCATAATGGCTAAAAAAAATCTGTTAACAAAATCCTAATTAGCACAGTATTACCAGACAGTCCTAGGCATCTCATACATCTATTTTAAGCACCCTACAGGGAACAAAAATAGGCATGCTTCCAAAGAATTTGCACCAGTTTATATCAGCTGCCACAGAGAGACAGCAGTGTCTCACTGTTTCAGCAGTGAAATGTGTTGGAACTAAGCAACATATTTCTGTCACAAAATAAGCCATCTATTCTAACTTTGTCTCTAATCCCAGTGGGTTTAAGCAATTACCATTATCTTAAAAAATTGCAAACTAGACTGCAATTACTGTTGGTTGTGGCAGCACTGTTCTTTTAGTGAACAAATAGATCAAAAATATTAATTGAATTCATGACCAAGAAACTGCAAGTATTACAACCTCATACCAATTATTCACTGCAGGCTTTAAAGTCACATTTAAATCAATGATTTTCTCATTGCCTTTGCTGGAAAGCATGTCCCAGGCACATGAGGACAAAGATGTAACCAAGGACTCCTGACATTTCCCATGCTTTTGATCATGTCTCTGGCTGTAAAAAGGCATGAGCACTCCTGAGCCAGCTGCTCTGTGTGATAGGAGCTGAAAAGCCACGAGCAGTAGAAATGACTGCTCTGGATCACACCAATTTCAGGGTTTTCTCTGTCCCTTATATCTGCCAAAAACCCCACAGGAAATTATGAAATACAATCTGTGACTTCTCTAAGTACCTCCACACAGAAAGTAACGTGGAGCCTTGGGAAAAAATGAATCCAGAGGCGTGGAGAACTTTCTTTTATGACAACATGGGAAATCTCCCAGTTAAAAGAAAAATCCATGGAGAAGAAAAGCTTCTAGGGAATTTCTTCCAAATATTTTCTTCCAAATGCCCACTTGCTGTAAAAAGTCCTTTGTACAGTTCTCTGGATTCACAAGAATCCTCAGGATTACTGTGCCAGCTACCCTCATTTACTCAAACACCAACATATTCCTCATGATTGCACTTCCTATGCCATACACTTGCTTCCCAGAGTGTGATAACGAGATGGAGTTTTCCCCAAAGTCATTATAATTTATTGATGTAACAGGTTGTCTTCTGATGCTCATCTGTGCAGTGTGCAAGAACAGCACAAATACAGATTAAAAAATTTTTAACGGGGTAAAGAGTTTTTATAAAACATCCCAACATGAAAATGAGTGCTCAGAGAAAACAGTAGCTCCATGCATGGTTTCAATTTACAATTTGGCCAAAAATCAGGTTTAACTTCCAAACTGTACTCTCCTCCTACAAACAACATGGCTTAAATGCCTCTGCTGGGAGAGAGAAATCAGAGCACTGCTGGGTATGCACACAGGGTGTTTCTCCTGGGGAAGGTATTTTGTATTGTCTGAAGCAAGCAGAGAATTGGAGGAAGGACCTTCCACACACTTCTGATGCAGCTCAGCCGCCATTCCCAAACTCAGTTCCATGCTCTTTGCTGTTTTAGGAAGCTGACATACAGGGCCACCAAGGTCAAAAACTGCTGCATATGGAAAACCTTATATGGTTTATTATTCTCCCTAAAATATAAAATATATACCTCAGAAAAAATTACTAAAAAAAACAACAAAAATTTAAGAAGTGGTACTAATTTTCCAAAGTACATTTACTTCCATGCTGCAGAATAATGGATCCATTTCAGGAAGCACCACAACAGGGCAAGTCTGTGGACCTGTGACCCTAAAAGCTTTAACAATCAATAAGCATATGCAGAATATTGCATATTCAGGCTCTGTTTCATGGGACTAGCTGTAATCCAGTGAATAAGCCCTGCATTGGGAAATACATGCTGCCTTGGGGAATGCCATCACTTGGATAGGAAATGGGATCTGAGACAATTAGGAGAATGGACTGAGGACCAAGAATGAACGCTGCTCACCTAAAGCTGGTGTTATATTTCCACAGGAGGTTACTGCATTGCTTTCTGCCCCAGTGTTACACAAAGAGGATGGAAATGCTCAGTATGAGGATTCCTCCGTTGTCAGAGAGGAGAACAGAATTTGTCTCTGGAGTTCCCTCTCCAGCCAGGTGACAGCCCTGCCCCAGGCACTGCCAGCCCTGCAGACAGCCCTGCCGTGGCAGCACTCACCGTTCCTGTCGATGGCAAAGGGCACATCTGTGGTGACAATCTCGTAGTTGCAGATCTGGCTGTACTGGGGGGAGCAGTCCTCATCTGTGGCTTCCACCTGCAGGATGCTGTCATAGATCTTCCCCTCTGTCACCGAGGCCTTGTACACGCTCTCCTTGAAAGCTGGGGAGAACTCATTGACATCCTTCACCTGGATATGGACTACTGCCCTAAAATAGGCACAGAAAAATATCAAAGACAAAAACTAATTTATTGTGACACCTCACTAACAGTTTCTTTTCAAAACACTTGAAAAGACTAACAGAACATATCTATAAAACTATGTAAGCACCTATTAAAATGAGATATTACTCAATTTTTTTGTTTAATTTTGCCCAATTTAGTATCTTAATGTGGCAGTAGGTAAAAGTCTATTGCCATGGCTTGTAGGGAGAGGGTTTCATGGTGCTCCCTGTTAAGACCTGCCTCTAAAAATGAACCCCAGCAGAAAGTCAGTGATATCATCATAGGGTAAAATAAGCAAAGAGGAAAAATTCACAGTAGTCTTCCATATCCACTACCTAAAAATGGCCAGTTTACAAACATTCTTCCATATTAAGTAAGGCTCTCACCTTCTGCTGATGATAATTATCTAATCCTCCAATTTGTTACAACCCTGTACACGTAGCCCACCAAAGCCTTTGGTATTTAGTGAGTAAATCCTAAAGGCCTTGACTTGGAAGGATTTGCTTTCTGGTTTGATAGGCAGAGTGACAGAGGGACACAGAAGGGATCTTCTGGAGCAATGGCAGAGCTGCAGTAAAGGCTGGGACCCCAGGCAGCATGGTTGTGTGTGATACTAGACAAAGTCTGGTGGCAGTGGGTCAGAATTCATTTAGTCAAGATTAGACCAAAACTTTCCACAACTGTATTTCTGCCAGATTCTTCCTGACGTGAGAGGGGGAAACATAATAAAATTTGATATTGTGAAGCAAAACCTGTTCCTGCCATTTGATGGTTATCTGCTATTGCAGGCTTCCTCCTAAATCTGTATTCTTTTTAAATATCCTGAAACCTTCAGCATGCATTATAGACCTAATTAAATTTTTAATTGTTGTGTGTCCTGGATGAGCAAAAGGAAGAATGATTACTATAAATCATTTATTATAATGGCTCTCAGCAAAACTATTTGTACAGCACTTATACATCTACGTGAGTTAAATTCATCTTTAATGACAAATGGTCTGGAGCTTAGTTTCATGAATTCAAAGGGAAAAAAGGCACTGTGCCACCTGAGCTTGTTCAGGGAACTGGCTCCACAGTAAAAAGTACCACCTACTGACCTTCAATACACTCCTCTTCAGTGGACTTCACTTTCTCAGAGACTCACTGGACAAAAGCTGAGGTCAGACAGTGCTCAAATGTGACACTGCTCAGTTTATGACATACATATACAAAAAAAAGGGGATTATTCCTCTCATCTTACCATTTGAAATGAGATGAACAGAGAGAAAACCAATTTAAAAACTGCAAATATCAATTGAAAGCCAGCTTCTATGACCTGGATGTATTTAACAGGAAAGCAAGAATGGAAAATAGAAACCAAAACTGAGATGAGTTTATCCACTTGAACGGGGGTCCTGTCCAAAGCTTTAACTAATGCAAACAAAAAGGAATATATTTTCTAACAGGAAAAAGGAATGACAAAATGGGTGGAATATTGCAACAGTAGTTCATCTTTGTTTTGTTTGCTTTCTACCTGACAATAACATAGACTGTAGAGAGAATGCATGCCAAAGCAAAATAAAAAATTTCTACTCATTTTCACCCACTTGTGAGATTTCTTCCAGTTTGTTCCAGCTGGTCCTGACCCACAGTCATAGGCCTGGATGATGAATGTGTATTCCTTCTGCAGCTCACAGTCAATGGGACTCCTTGCTCGAAGCCGACCTTCTCCAGATGTCTTGTTCAGCACCACGGCCTCGAAGGGCATTTCTTGCCCATGGATTTTAAAAGCACAGATTTCACCTGTGAGGAACAGCACAAAACAATCATAACTGGGAGGGCGCTCTGAGTCTTATGCACTGGAGTGACACTTGGAAAGTTAATTTGCATTTCACCTGTTCCAGAGGGGGAAATACAGACTCAGGCACCGGGTCACTGTGTATCCAAAAGGGCCATTAAGCAGGTGCCTGTGCAGTGGGATGCTCTGACTGCAGCTCCAGGTACACTCCTCCCTTTTCCTCCCTCAGTACTAAATGGTTTCTGAAAGCCCAGGGGGCCATTCTATATGGCACCAACAGCAATGGTGAGCTAAAACATTTTTGAACTAAATTAAGAGACTGTATTTATTTAAAGAAAATAGCAAAAAGAAAAATGATGACACTTCAGAGGTATCTTTCTTTAACTGCTGTCACTCCTTGAGCACTTGAGCTGCCAGGTGGTAGCAGATGTGCAGATTCTTGGAGTTTAGTTTCCCAGTAGTGGAAAAACTAATGGTGCAGAACATGGGCACATTGAAAATACACCCTTTTTTATTTACAGACATACATCATTTTTGGAACAGAAGTAGCTGAAGGCACACAGACAAGTGTCCCTTTTGGACATCTCAGTCACCCACCCACCCTCTCACTCTCATACATGAGTGCCTTCTTGGCAGCAGCTTGCTCTGCTTCCAAACTGTTTCCTAATGTAATAGATCCACAGCATCTCTCAGAGGAGTTAGAGAACAGAACAGATGATATAGCAAGGACTAAAAAAATTGATTTGGTCACAAAAGACAACATAAAGAATCTCATTCTTGTGAGAATGTGAGACTAGAATGGGAGAAAAGACCCAGCTTCTTGTGTTCCTTTTTTTATCCTTCATAATGATAGCAAGGATATGCACAGAGTTAATTTTTAACTACTCCAGAATCCAACTTTAAAAATGAAATATTTATACAAAGATCAATGTGACTTAAATATTTTTCTGATACATTAAACACATGCTCTTTTATGAGCAAGTCAGTCTCGGGACATGTATTATAGATTCAAAGCCATCTCCCACTCACATAATCCTTTTCCGTTTATTTCCAATTTACAGTCGCAGCATTTTGAAAATCTCCTTGCCAATCATATCCGAGCCAAGTACCAAATTCTAAATTAACTCTGAATCTATGACCTCTGATTCAGGCCTGGCTCCTTTTCTCTATTACAATATGTTGTTTATTTTTGCAAAAGAGGACAGTGACTTTGTAAAAGTGCTGAAGTTCATCATTCCTATTGTGTATGAAAAATAAAAAATGGCAAGGGTGTGTGTGCAGGGAGGGTGGGGATTAGGTACACTGAGGTATAAACACAGAATTTTTAGGATATTCCCTCAGCTATAATCACATAGGTTTCCCTTTATGACCACAGGAGCTGAAGCTTTGCTCAGACACATCCACTGACATTTAGGCAGACAAATCCCACACTTAACAATTGCAATCAATCCTGTGAATGTCTTTAGAGGAGCAGCACGCAGTTTTTTTGGTAATTCTGAGGCACTGAAAACATACATTAGGCATTGCTTAGACATTTTTCTGCTGCACCCTCTCTCTCCCTGCAGGGGTGAGAAAGGGCTGTGGAGTTTCCCAGAACAAAGCTGTGCTCTTTTCCAAGCTCTCTGCTGTTCTCCCTCGGTGAACTCAAAGATTTGGTCTACAGAAGAAGCAATGGACTTTTGCTTGGGAATCAGATTTTCAAAAAGACTAACACCTTGCACGTTGATAAAAGCAGTGGTAATGAACTGTGCACACGGGCCAGAGCTTGAGATGAAGAGAAGGCTGAAGGGAAGCAGCTTGTTCAGCTTTCATCACAGGCACTGATCACTGAGTTTGTATCCCACTGCTGTCCCACACAACCTTTGAAAACAACTATTCTCATTTCCTTGTAACTTCAAAACAAAACGTTCATCTGAAATGATATTGTGGATTTCAGTTTTATTTTAATTGAAAACAAAATAAACCAGTGCAAACACGGGAAGTCTACAGGCAAATACTGTTTTTTGTGTTCTGTGAAGACTGGCCTTCATAGTTTCTTAATAAAGTTTTTCCCAGATGCACAATCCATCAACAGAAATCTTAACTTCAGTGGTTTGTGTTTATTATTTTATTGATCCACTGTTTAGTTGCAAACAAGACAGCATTTGCAGATGTCCAAGTTATAGTTCTTAAAAAACAGAAATAGCTCCGGGCAGAAAAAAGTTCTCTCAGCCCTAATCTAAAAATTTATCGTTTTTCCCTCTCCAAAGGCAGACCCCTAATGCAAAGCAATCGTAGAAGCAGCACATGTTCCAGTTAGTTCTCAGCAAGTATTTTAGAAGTCTCTATATCTCGCTCCTATGCAAGATACCCCAGCTTTAAATATAACTCTTAATTTTTTTAATATAACTCTCCATATTCCCATTTGCCAAAGATAAAATAATGACAGGTCCCTGGATATGGTGAGATATTTGTAAACACACTGCAAAAAACCCACATACACTTCCAGAATGTGGCTGCAGAAACCTGCTTATTTGAAAACAACTGCAAATGTTTTTTAAAAACTGAGTAAGATTTTTTTTCAAAAGAAGGGCTGCATTGCTGTTTCCAAAGAAATGAACTAACACTGTCGAAAAATTTCAATGTATAGGATCATCATGTTTTTTAAAAGGTGTCTTGATGGCTGTATTGCAAGTGGAAATGATAACATAGTTGTAAGAGCTGTAATAAAGCAGATGAAGTAAGGTCCACTGCCAGACGCACATGCATTGACAGATATATAGAATTACTATTCTTAAACATCACGAACTGTCTTTAAAACCTAACAGATACTATTTCTTCTTATTAAATAGAGCTACAGGGCTTTATTTCAACTCAGCTGAGCTAACCCCAGACCTACACGATGCCAGTGGGAACCGTGCCAAGTTTATCTTACTTACTGGGGTCTTAGGGAAGTATGGGTTTGTAACTCACTGGAGAAAAAGCAGGCAGGGCTTCTCTCCTACTCAGACTCTCCACTGAAGTTGCAGGACCTTGGTGTTGTAAATAAATTTACAAGTTAACCAAGTTCCACCAAAAAGTTATTGTTTGTTAGTTGATAAATTGTTAATTGAGTTAATGTTGTTAATTTAAGTACCCCAGTTCAGCTGTAATGTTAGTTCCCCTGTTCCCCGATCCCTTGGTTGTGTACCTCCCTTTTGTCCATTGGGTATTGCTGCTGCTGTTCCGGCATGGCACCAGAGGAGGTGACATCATAGGACTGCTATGCAAAGTGCAGAACTAAGGAATTATGGGTACCATTTGGGTAAATAAATCCCCTATAAAATGAGCCAGCTGAAGTTCCAACGAGCCAAGATGGTTTATCTGTGTCGGGAACTGTCTCCTGGAACTGCACACACATGACACCCAGGATCCTCACCCTGATAAGAACAGTGCCCGGTCAGAAATGGGACCCTAGACAGTGAGCAAAGATTGTCTTCCTAGGGGACTCCTGTGAGGATGGAAGCCCCAGCTCTGCCCTTCGTGGACAAAGCTGCACTGAGCCTCCTCCTCAGCGTCGTCATCTGGGAGCAGCGCGGTGGTGTGTGCGCACCCCATGAGTACCCCCACCCACAAGTAAAGAGCTGATTCTTAATAAAGGCCTTTCAAAGGGAGCTGGTGTCCTGGCCCATTTACTTCACTTGGCACCACCTTCCTCCCATCTCCTTTGCAAGGTTGAAATAATGAGTGAAAACTGGGACATTGTTTTTTCTCCCAGCAGACAACCCAGCAAAATTCTGTGCTTTGTTCTTAATTTAATTTGAATGGGTTTGGGAGCAGGTGGATATAGGATTTTGTGATCACAGAAATGGTGGTAGCACTGAATTGCTAAAAAAAGGAGAAGTTGCTGACACCATGTAAAGGTAGAAGCACATTCATGAAATCCTAGAGCAATTGCCAGGGCAGAGGGAAAATGCCTCTTCTCCCAGGTCAGGAGGCACACTCTGAGGCCTTCCAATTGCTTCCTACAAAACCTTCTGGTTGCAGGGTTGAACTCTGCTGAGAGTTTCACTTTAATACATGTTTTAACTAAACTCTAGACACATTTTTTCTTCAAATCATTCAGACTGTCATTAGCCATAAGCACCTATTAATTTTGAAGTTTGCATTCTTTTATGTTTAAAGCCATGGTAGATCCATGTTACTACTGCAGGGATAATAAGGATATAATTTCCTCTGTAAAAATTATAATAGCCTGAAAAAAAGAGCTACTGATGGTTCATAATTTCTGAAACATAACCAACAAATTTATCCACTGTTTGGAAATTGATAAAGACAATGTTTCACATTCAGTCACATTTACATGCAAGATTTAGCGATTATAAGACTTAATCAATAAAACCGTATTACAAATTACTGCCTTCTCTATGAAACACCAGATTCATGGTTTAATCCCCAATGTTACTCCTTTAATAACTACACAGCCTCATTCACTTGAAATCAATTTCAGAAGTTATTAAAAAAACACTGCATGCTTATGCGGCCTTTCACAGCTCCCTTTGCTACTTCCTCAGCCTTCAGCACACCAAGAATAGTGAAGATTTCAGATGGAAAGCTGGGCTCTCTCACACTCCATCATTGGCATCACTAGGTACAAAAGGCAGCAGCTGTGTGTCAATCAGGAATCCCCAAATGCTCTTTCACTGGGCTGGCTGAGGTCCAGCAAGGGCCAGCGCTGGGCTACCACAAGCCTGCATTGCTCCAGGCTGGGGCACAGAGGCTGAAAGTGGCCAGCAGAACAGGACCTGGGGGTGCTGGTCAGCAGTGCCTGAACATGAGCCAGGTGTGCCCAGGTGGCCCCAAAGGCTCACGGCACCTGGCCTGTACTCAGCACTGGGGAGGCCACACAGCAAACCCTGCGCCCAGCTCTGGAACCCTCCCTGCAAGGAAGGGCCAGAGAAGAGTTGGAGCACCAGGCTGGTGAGGAGCAGCTGGGGGCTCAGCCTGCAGAAATGGAGGCTCAGGGGAGACCTCACTGCTCTTGGAG